ACTGTGAAGTGATTTTATCAATATTTCTCCTCCATTATGTTATCAGCCCCAATGCATTTCAAAAACAACCCTTTTTATCATTAATGCCGAACTAGATAAAGGGAGGGAGGAAATTGGGAGAGTGTTTATAGACAAAAGTGGTTGGTTGGTTGGTTGGTTGGTTATTTTCATCAGCTTTAGCATTCTCTTCCAGATGTTTCCATTTTTTCAGCTATACATAGCTAATGACCTACCATACTGTCTATATTTACTTGTAATGACTCACCTGTTTCCCATGAGAGAGGATACTTAAAATCAGCCTGTGCTAGTGTCTTAGACTAGATATGAACTGGACTATATGTAAATCTTAAATAAGTACAGAGAGATTCAAACAAGTGCTCCAATCAGCCTCCACAATCATACCTCCCACCAAATCTCACCATTCCATCACATCATCACATGAGAGATCATGATTATACATGCTAAAATCCAGTTTTGTTTGCTGTAAATGCAGATTAATGACTTTCGAAGATTTATTGCCTCCAGGTAGACAACTAAAGGCCTCATTAACTCTGGTCATTTTATTCAATTAAAACCTTTTTGGGTAACAGGAAACATACACAAAAATGAAGAAAAAAAGAAAATCTGGCAGGAATGCATACTTCTCTCCAATTTGTATTCTTGTTCAACATTCTCCTAATTGAAACACATAGTATCGATCCAATATGTGCTGCTCCAGATTCTATCCATTCAGTATACCGGATAGTCCACCTTGGCAGCCCCACAAAGTTGGGGCTACTATATTTTCATGATTCCCATTTTACAAGCAAGGAAGAGACTGGAGTATTCACAGCAAGGGAAAAAAGGGTATTAAATAGACAAATTAAAGCATATGTTTAAGTTTATTTGTGGAAAAAATTGCTCAAATAGACAATGTCCGACCTAGCAAGTAGAAAGGAACTCAGAGGAGCTGTACAAAATGGAAATAGATGGGAACAGGGAATGAATGTTACTATACAAAAATAGAGGATTGGTTGTGGCCAGGTCACTATCCTTTAGGGGATAGCAGCTGTCCATGAGGCTTCAATACTAAGAGTCTAAATACCTGCTCTACCCTCTGCTTGTTCAGGCCCACATGTCACTCCACCTAGGTCTCCATTTACTTACTTCCTACTTCCAGGCATTTCTATTTTGTGAGCAGATTTTTACCTCCATTCTAGGTAAGAATCATCTCATTTTAGGGGAATGAGATGCTGGCAAAACAAACCAGAAAGGAATAGAACCAATTGTACTCTGACCAAGGAAGATCTGAATCCCATTGTCTCCAGTCTTTAACAGAGGAGATCCCTTCAGTTCACTCCTCTGATCTGGACAGCGGGACCACAATGAGTTATCTGAGGAGGTAGATTTAAAACACTCTACCAGGAGAATCTTGACTTGCTTGGGAGTCAGTAGATCAGGGTTTCCGAGGAAAGAATCAGGCCGACCTAAGACTTGATTTCTGGCTTTCTCACTTACTGTTCTAACCAAGAAAGTTATCAAGGCATTTTCATTCATACCTTTGTGATCTCTAAAGTAAAGAAGCTGGTGGGTCTGAGGTGCTTCCTGGCTAAGCAGCTACCCTCTCCTACACTCTCCACACTAAGACATCTCTGCCAGGAGCCCACAGCCGGCTGAAAGCAGCTTGCTCCCCACAAGCAGTCTGCACACCTGTTGTGAGCCAGAGCCCTGCCTGCAGGGACTTGGGCACTGTGAACAGTGCTGGTGGGGTCTGCGAGCTGTGCAAGGACTCTGCTCTGCTCTAGGTCAGGAAATTCACAAACGTAGATGGATAACAACAAAAGATCATATTGGAACAGTGGGGATCAGCAACTTTGTACAGGAAGCTTTGGACATGTTTACTATAGTCTGCTGGAAGTTAGGGCAAAATTGAGCAAACAACATGAGCTGGTGCTTGGGAAATTAGGAAAGCTGCTAGTGAACTCTTTCTTCCGCTAAGGTAACTGAAATTAACGAAGCTCTTGCAGAAACTTCAGGGCTTGTCAACGAGTCTTGTTATAAAGATGTTTGATCAAGAATAACCCTTAGCACTCATTGAGCTAATGAGTGACCCTTTAGCACTATGAGTGACCTTTTAGCACTAGATGAGCTGAGTAAAGAAGCAAATGCAAAATGCATAAAATCTGTTGAGGAGTAAACATGGAACCCCTAAAAACACTGGTATGAAGCAAAAAACAAAAGAATAATAAAATTAGTGATTGTGAACTCTCAAATCTAAATTTGGCACATAACAAATCATTAAAAGACTTGACAGCTGTATTATTAGTTGTTGAAAGATGAGAAGGTGCTTACTAGTAATAGAGGTGAAAAGCTCGAGTTTGAATTGGCAGGGTAACTTGCTTAAGAAATAAACTAAAAAAAAAAAAAAGGCGAAGAAATAGACTGAAGAGCCCTCCCTAGTGGCGCAGCAGGTTAAAGCACAACACTAAGAATCTGGCCGCAGCCACTATTGGAAGAGTTCGAACCCCGACCTGGCAGGTGACTCACTTGGTGTGGACGACCTCTACCTCTCCCACCTGTTCTGTTCCCCACTCTGTCTCTGGTGATCCTCTCACCCCCCCACCCCCACCCCCACACCTCTGACTAGTACCCCAGGTCCTGTGTGAATAAATAAATGAATCTTAATAAAAAGAAATGGACCGAAAGTGCAGTTTCACTTTTTGAGACACCGGTTTGGTCCTAAGTTTCTATGGTTTCCACAAATCCGATCCTTAAATCCCTTCACACATCTCATTCAGAGGTCTGTAGTGACACTTCCCCCCACCCCCCCACCCCCAATTTAGAAATCTCCTGAAGGCACTTTCAATTCCACCATGTTTGTGAACCACACCATCTATAATTACGTTAAAGGGTTTACACACGAGGAGAGGAAATGGTATCCCTAATATATCCATCAATACTAAAGTCACCGCCAGAATAGAAAGTAGACAATTTTGCATTCACAAGTAGTGGGGGGGGGGGGCGGGAGAGGGGAGGGAGGAGGAGACAAAGAAAAGTGTCTTCAGTGGCAGGAAGTGGGAGGAGACTTTTTTAACAGCAGTCGGGCTAGGGGCCATTTCAGAACTGCCAAGTTAATATCAAGCTCAACTTCTTGAGTATGGAGAATTCAAGAGGCAAAGAGGTAAATATCCGGGTACAATTTAATAGAATTAAATACAAATTTACCTGTTTGTTGTCAGTTTTGTGAGTTTTCTCATGTTTCTCTTCCTCGGCACTTGCGATCCTTACATCAAGGAGAAAAGAAAGTGCCTTAGAATTTCTTCCTTTAATGTTTGGTAAAGGTGATCTTGAAAATGAATGCAGATGGTTATTTGATGTGAAGAGTCAGTAAGAAATAAGGTTTCTTACGGTTTAAAAGAGGTGCTTTATCCTGCTTGCACCTCAAGTAGCAGGCACTGGAGGGAAATGTTTACAGAAGAAAAGGGGAGAGGAGGAAAGACTCTGGGAAAAGGGAATTGAGTTAATGTTGGGAAAGAAGGTCCTGAAACACAGGTGCTTGGTTTGGACCGTCTTTTCCCCAGGGTCCTTAGGACCAAAAATAATCAGTCAGACATATGCACAAGCACTTTAGACAGAATCTAAAGACGGAGAGGCATTTAGACTTGTTCGAGAACAACTGAACTACCATACCTAGAAAATGAATGCGTTACTTTCCTAGAATTGGTCATTTTTGCCCTGTAATTTTAAGACTTTGAAACCCTAAGTGAGGACTTTTCATAAGGGCTGTGCAAATATAAAATTCGACTGCTAATGTAAAACTGCTTTGGAAATGTAAAAATGTCATACAAGTGCTAATTTTTTTTTGAACCCCCACCTGGGGTTGAAGTTGAAAGGATTTATGTTTGGGAGCAAGCGTATTTGGATTGAAAACCGTCAACCTAATATGCTTACCTGTGTCCCTTAGTTATGTAACCTTTAGCCTCCACTTCTGCATCTTAAAAACAAAGATAAAAAAAGAAGTCACCATATTTATTGAGTCCAGGTTGAAAAGTAGGGACTCTACCTTTGTGAAATTTACGGTCAAACAGAGTAACAAGTATTGATCAAATCATATAAGCAAAGGTAAATTTGCAACTGGCAAAGAGTTAGTAATGATGCAATGTGTAGATTTAACTAGGTCTATTGGACTAGAAAGATTTTTCAGTTGAACTAGTACTTGAAAGGAAATTTTGAAAGAGGAATGAGAAGTAAGATTTAAATACCAATAGATATGGGTGGGTGTGGAGTATAGGGTGGAGCTAAGAGATAATCTTTCCAGCCAAAGTAGATAAGTTGAAAAGGAATTCGACCAGGTCTTGCGGCAATGGAGAGCAATTCAGAAAGCTGGTAGGTTGTATAAAGACATTTTCATGCTAAGAACAAGTCTTTGAATGGATGCTTAGCATCCCTTTACCAATAGCAAAAAATCCATTTACTTGGAAGAGGTAAAGAATGAAGGAATGGGAAAGTTTGGGGATTTAATAGGTGTTTTAAGTTTACCCCAAAGCAGTGTATTCTAGATTTTGGGTAAAATTTGGATTACATTTTTTTTCTCAATGCATTTAAATATTTATTTAGGAAATTCAGATCCTTAAACCAATTACCTCAAATGAATGATCCCTACCCCCACCAATTTTTCTGCTTTATCTTTGTATTTTGGTTTGGAGCCATATTTCCTGTCTTATACTTTCAAATTGACCTCATTGCTTCCCTCATAAATGAACCTTGGACTTAAGATGGTACCCAGAGGAGAATCCATACTGGTAGCATGGAGTCCAGTGACCATCTTGCTGCTTTGTATGTGAGTTTAAGATCTTATAGCCAGTGGTGTTTGTGGTGGGTGGGCATCATAGGAATGACTGACTGGTTCTTCTGTCTGCAGTGGAACTCCACAAGGAAGTTGGGGGAAGAAAATCTTTATTTCCAATGCAAAAACGTATCCATAGAGGAACACAGAACTTCTAGTGAAAGTACATCAACTACGAAAAAAATGATCTCAGCAAAGGGGACCAAACGAAAAAGAAGTGTGAAAGAGGACAAAGGTAACATCTACAAACCCTCAAATGTGCTTTCACTAGGGCCTAAGAAACCTGATGAATTTTTCTGATGGGTTTTGGAAGAAATTTCCCCCCTGTACTCTGTAGATACTACATTTCTTAGAAGTCTAGTCTAAACTTTATCTCCCTGAGGCTCTCCTTGAGTCACATCTGTTAAAACTTTTTCTGTCTCCAAACTCCCATAATATATTTGGTTCCGATAACTATTTTTGCCTTAACTAACAGTTTGGAGTTAAGGATCTCAGCATAAAGTAATTTGGTGACTGGCTGCTTGTAAAATTAAAATTCCATTCTTGAAAGTTCATTTCCTGTTTTATAACAGAAGGATAAAGCCAACCTTGGATGACAGGGAACAATTACAACGTCTATGGAGTCACTAGGTGAAAACATCTAGACTACAGCTCACTGGTATTGTGTGAACTGATAAGTCTGAGGAACTATTCATAGCATTGTTTTGTCTATTCTGGAGTATGGCCTGTCTTTCCTGTATATCTTTTGCTAAGATGGTGAGATGCAGTAGCTGGAGACCCCAATGTAACCTTGAGGGCTGAGTTGGCAGAATTATTAGTGTTAGTGGATGTGTGTAGCATTGTTGGTGGTTTGTTTTATAATGAAAGGGCAAGGCAACTTTTGAGCGTTTATAATCACAGATCTAAAACTAGCAACCCCTGGGCCCGACACGTTAAGGTGCAGCACTGCAAAACTGGCTGCAGCCTCCTCAGTGTGAGTCCTATCCCCTGCGAGGGAGGTGGCCCATATGGCACAGCAGATGTCTGTCTTACCTGCTGCTCCCCTCAGCAGTGTACTTCGTCAAAATCCACCTATTCTGCCCCCCACTCTATCTCTGGTAAATCCTTTAACCGCCCCTTCACCTCTGGCCTACACCCCGGTTCTGTATGCATACGTAAATATTTTTTAAAATAGCACCCCCTTAAAAGTACAATTTCTAGTGGAACCTGGAGCCTGTGAGTTAGACATCTACAAAGGAGCAAATGGTAGGGAGTTTTAGGAAGTAAAAACTGAGTTGCAGAAGTATCCAGCCCATTTATCAGGTTCTGTCCCTTGGAGGTAATGTGGCCCTTGGCAAATCACTTAGCTGAAAAAATGGGAATTGGCTATGAAAACTAAAAGTGATCGTACTTTGAACATTTTAAAAAGTAACACAAAAGTTAATCACTAATTTATTCCCCTTCTTCAGCTTCGTGCAAGCCAGAGAAAGCACAAGACAATGACGGAGTAAAGCCTGAACGGAAGAAGATACCAATTCCTCCACTGCCCTTGAAAATTCCACCCATCAACCTGCTGCACCGGGACATTGTGCGTGCCTGGGGCCGGGAACTAAAGCTGAGCACCAAAGGCCAGGTGAGCTTGGGTGAGAGACTAAGCAGCTGGGGTGAAGGGTGAGATCCTTACTATGACAACTAACTCATTTTTCTCTTGTCTTAGAAATTAGAAGTTTATAAGAGAATCTGTGAATATGCATATCCAAATCAAAAGGTGAGTAATTTATAGGAAATTTGGCAGAGTAGAAGATGTTGTTCTCAATCCAATTGCCTATTTTAGAGAAAAAAGTGTGTAAAGGAATTGTTTCAGCTTCTTCTTCCCTACACTATGCCTCATTCTGAGAAGGAACAAGATGCCCTTACTTTATAGCTATTGCAAAGAACAACAAATATTGGACTGTGCTTGTAATTATCACTTTAATCTTTTAAAACCAATTTGTAGGATATTCCCAACACTGCAAAGGAGGCCAGGATCCTGAAGAAATCAGAGCTAAGAGCATTGCTAGGCAGTGGGAAAATAACTCCAGAGAGTTCTGAGGAAACTAATACTCCTAAAGTAACTGCTTCTCCTGTGGATGTGGGGCCTGCCCCTGTCCTTGAAGCTTCTACTCTTGAAGCAGTTGACACCGTGCTTGTGACAACATCTGCCCAAGATGCTGTGTTTGCCTCATGGACCAGAATTACTGCCATGGCTGGACGGATGGAGGGAATACAAGAAGTACAGTCACCACCAGAGTTGAGTGGTAAGCCCCGTCAATAGTAAGAGCTAGTTCTGGTCCAGATCAGCACATAAAGTTAAATGTTAACCTGGGATCACTTTTAGGCTATATCAAAGTCATCAAGAGCTGGTGAGTCCTGGGGGCCCCATCCCGCTTCCTCTTAGTTTCTGATTAGGCCTGAGCTATAGGGCCTAGGTATTGTTTTTCTGGCAGCTTCCCAGGCCATGTTGATAATGTGGTCTGAAAACCACTGCTATTGTTTTGCCATCAGGCGGGGATAGCAATCTGCTTGGTATCATTTCTTTTCCTCTTTAAGGAATTAAAAGGCTGATTATGTAAGAATCAGCTGAGCTTGAGCCTGGATCTTCTAGCACCTATTAGTAAATGGAAAGTTGTTGAGGGTGAGTGAATTGGGTTTGTGGGTCATTTGATTGGTGATGGATGGAAACTGTGCTTTTGGTGGTGATCAGCATGTGTTATATACAGATGTCAAAGTATCGAGCTCTACACCTGAAACTTAGGCCACGTTAGAAATCAATGTTCCTTCAATTTAAAAAATTATTTAAGCCAGTTTTCAGTTTCCTTGTAAAACAGGCTAGTCATTATATCCACCTCAAATGTTTTAAGAATGACAGAAGATAAATTTCAGGATCATCATAAATTGATTAACACAATGCCTACTGAAAAGAGCTGACACTATTTGACAAAAGCCTTCCCAGACTAGTCCGGTTTAATGTTTCTATGGGATGAAACCAAAATATGGTTTTCCAGAATATGATCTTTAACATGAAAATTGGGCTAAAGACAAAGACATAGCAAACCCAGGAAAAGTTCTCTGATTGTGGCCACAGGCAGAATAGAAATTGTCCCTTTGCTGCAAACAGATTCTTAAGAGGCTAAGAGATCCATCAGATGAATCTGCAAACAAAACTTACTCCATTAGTTCCTTTCATATGTTTATCCATCCTTTGTTGCCCTTGGGACCTAAAACTGCTTTTCTTTGTCCTGATGTTACTCTACCAATTCATTGGCCGTTGTGGAAGATATTTTATAACTTAAATTTGTAACCCATCGCCTTGGACTAGTTTTCCTGACAGCTTCTCTGTGGTGAGTGCCACACAATTGAATGGACACTGGGTAGTCTGATTTTCTTTTTGTCACTGAGCCCCAGGTGAACACCTGGATGGAGATGGAGAGTTTTGCTCCTGTGCATTATCATTGACCTGCATGCAGCTATGCTGATACCAAACACTGGCCTCAGTTTCCCACAGCCAATAAAAGGGAACAATTTGAGGAGAAAGAAAGTAGTTTAATTTGTTGAGAAATGAGGAGGGCAGCAGATTCATTTCTAAAAAGACCACCATCCTCCTTTTTGGCAGGGTCCAGGGTTATTTATACAAAGAGGGGGAGGAAGGCGCAGATGAGCCAGTGGTTTGCAAAAGGGAGGGGTGGCGCTGTCCACACAGTGACTGGTGGGCTCAGCTTACTTTTTTTGAACAACTGCTGTTTAACTCCATCTCCCTTGGGATGCAAGAAGACAAGCCTGTCAAACAAGGGGAATATTGTAAGAAATAGGGGAAGACAAACTGATTGATTCTTATCTGAGAGAGCAGGCATTTGTAACTGTATCAGTGCCACTTTCAGCTCTATTTTCTGCCTCTACTTGAAGTTTTAACAGGAACAGATTTGTAGTGTTTATGAAGAGCCAGACGGGATAGGTGTAGTTAGGATTACAGAGTTTTTATACTGGAGCTGTCACTTGTGTGGGTGGGGGGGAGTAGAATCAAAGGTCAAGATGCAGTCTAAACAGTAGGATTTGGTTGCTCTGTTCATAATTAACTCTTTCTGTTCCCAGATGTTAGGTGGTGTGTTATTCATGGAAGATGTCTCTCTTCAGAGAGAGAAGGCTGGGTGCGCCTTCAGTTTCATGGGGGACAAGCATGGGTACCTGAGAAACAAGGGCAAGTATGTGCCTTGTTCCTGCTCCCCTCCTGCAATTTTCCGCCCTCACACCTGGAGGACAATATGTTGTGCCCCAAATGTGTCCAAAGGTAATTACCCAGGGTTTTCCACAAAGCAAAAGCAGCCATTGTTTTTTTTTGGGGGGGGGTTGGAGGAGAGAAGAGAAGATACATAATATGCTTAGCCTTGTACATCAAGTCCAAGTGTCAGTAAGAGTTTTAAGAAAATGACTACTGAGGTACTTGTACCTGAGTATTCTGAGAAAGGAACATTCCTAGAAGGAGTGTTATATGAGCCTCAAGCTTGTACCTTGGAGCCCCATCATTCTGAAGAAGCATGGTACAATTACTGTGTTTCTGGTGTGTGCACTATACAGAAATAATGGCTAGTGAAAGCGCCCTTTAAATAGCCTACAGTTTGAGGACAGATGCATCCTCAGCAGGTCAGTAAAACCACGTGATGTGACAGCTAGTATCATGGGAACTGTCTAACTGAAGAGAAGAATGAACTGGATGGAAAGGATGAGTAAGGACATTTTTCAGATAGGGATCAGTGCTAAGTCTGTGGAAGAACTTGGGACAAAGTAGAAACTGCAAGGGGGATAGTGTGACAGAATACAGTGGAAAATAGGCTTTGGTTTCCTCACTCACAATGGCCATAATAATGTCTATCTGAAGAGTCAGTGAAAATTAAATGAAGTAATGTGGGTGAACTGCTAGGCACACAGCAAATAGTTCTCTCAGCTACTGAGACTTAGTCTGCACACAGTCATGAAGATGGAAATGAGTTCAATTTTACATATTTCAAGCAATGTCATTTGCTTGGAGTCAAATTATAGTAAATTTTGATTATTGAAAATTTACTATACTAACTATACTATGCTATACTAACTAACAACCAACTTTAGAGGCACAGTTATGAAGAAAACTGAAGGAAGGTTACCCAAAAATGCTTTTTTTCTATGACTTAAATTCCAAACCAATCAACAAATTAATGAAATTTATTGATCTGGAGGAAGGTCAATTTGTTCTGATGAATTTATTCTCTGTATATACCCAACTAGCTGATTAAGGTTCTTGTTTCTAAGATTTATTTTATTTGTTCATATAAGAAATGACATGTAGGCCAGAGTGGGGAGCAGAACAGGCATATCTACTGAAATGCACTGCTGAGGGGAGCAGCAGGACTGGGCTCTCTGACCTGTGGGTCAGCTCCCTGGCTGGGGATCAAACTCATGCTGCAATGGCTGGCTATAGCTTGATAGAACTGAGACTTAACCCCTGTGCCACCATGGAGGCCTAGCTTCCTATTTCTAAATGAGGATGGGAAGTATTTTATTAATATAAAGCAACCAAACCTGGCAGATATGGTGATGGATGGTAAATGGGTATCACTTTTTTGAAGAAGCATGCTGCCAAGGAGCGTTCCTAGACTTAGCCCTGTTTCTATGGGAGACCATTTGAAGAAGTGACCTGGAATTTAAATAGCCTATAAAGCAAATTTTCCAAAAGGTCACTGTATTTAGGTTTGTAGAGTACCAACTGTGGTGACCTCTGTGTTTAAGGGAAAATGCACATATGCAAAATTTTGCAGACATTTCTAGGCTTTGGGGGAGAGACAAAGAGTGACATCCTGCATCTCATTATCTGGTGATAGGCCATTGAAGGATTTTAAGCAAGTGAATGGGTTGAGATTTCTATTGCCTAGGAGGGAAGTGTATAATAGCAATTCCAAAATCTTGTAGGAAAGTCAGTTTTCCCATGTTTAAAGGGGCTGGCCCCTTGGGGAACAACTAGAAGAGAAATCTGACATCTATATTATTTGGTGGTTATTCAGACACTTAAGAGATAAGAGGATTTGTGCCAGTTTAGGCTGGAGCTTCTAAGAGCAGCACAGTATTTTAGGGAAAAGTTAGAGGAAACAGAAAAGGAACAAGAAGAAAACAGGGACAAGAAAGTTAATGAGGGTATTTGCACTTAGGGTATTTTTAAGTAATCAAATGAAGTTGAAGAAAGAACAAATTATACATCTGTTGGGGTAGTATAAAAGTAAAATAGAAGAGTACAGATACTGGTGGTGTTGAGTAAAGGAAAAGGCATAGATTACAACTGAAGGTATTTTCTGCAGTAAAAAAAAAAACGGAAAGGTAGAGGAGGAGGGTGCTTACAGGGAATTTTCATTTCTTTTGTATTGCAGAAGGGAGGCCAAGTATGCTTCTGAGTTTAACTTAGGAATGGAGGATGCAAACACAATAGTGCCTTTGAATAGCAGGACAGGGAACCTCTCCTTACCCCAGCAAGTTCCTGGGCTTCCTTCTCAGTAGACCTGCTGGGGGCCCTCCTTTGGTAACCATGGTTATTGAGCATCAGAGATAGATCTTGCACAGAACCTGAAAGGGGGTGGAGCAGCAAGGCTTCCCTTCCTGCCACTCAGGAGCAGTAGCTTCTTAGGCGCTGACACCATGGCTGACTCCCACAGGCAGAAGTGAGTTTGTAGCACTCTAACCCTTTGGCTGTCATATTTACTGCTGCAGCTCTTTTTTCTTTTAAGACTTATTTTTATTCATTTATGCATAGAAGAGCTGAGGTGCAGAGGTGCAGGCCAGAGATGCAGGTTTGAGGGAGGAAGGATAAACCAGAGACAGCAGAGAACAGAACAGGTGGATTGACTGAAATACACTGTTGCAGGGGTCAGCAGGCATAACAGGAGAGGTCTCCTGCACCCTGTGGGTCAGATTTCTGGCCTCTGTGGCTAGCAATAGCTTGATGGTGCTGAGACTTTAACCCCTGTGCTGCATTTCTTTATCCCAGGCAAGTTGAATAAAGCTAGGGTCACTTTGGATAGCCTTTTAAAAGCTTTAGCTTGGCTGTTGGGTAGTGGTAAAAGATGTCCTTCCTGGAACAGGACAGAAATGTGAACACTACAGAGAGAAGACTGCCATTCCTTGATGACATGGTCACTTAGCCTACCTATGAGCCTAATGTTTTACTGGTTCAGCAGTAGGTTTCTGGGTTGTTTTCAAGGATGCAATTTTATCTCCTTTTGGTTTGTTTTTTAAAAATATTTCATTTGCTTTATAGGAATAGGATATTGATGAAAAGCCTCCAGTGAGATTATATTACCAGGAAAAAGTTACCCGCTGTGATTAATTTTAATGATAGACAACTACAATCAACTGACAGCCAACGCTGGTACCTCCATGCGTCCTATATTATGAATTAAATGATTTCAGAATTTTAAGTGTTTTCAGCTTAAAGTGAAACAAAATATTCTTATGTATATAAAACAAACTTTTTCAAAGTTTTTTTATGGGATGTTTGGGGTGTCTTTGGGATTAAAAAAAAGAGGCACTTTGCCTGTATTTCTATTTGCAACTTTTATGTATATGTAAATCTGGCTTAAAAAAAAGGTGTGTAGAGTTACTTCCAAATCATAAATGCATAAGATATTGCATTTTAAAATGTACATATAAAATATTCATTATCTATTATATTTTAGGAGATGATTGTTACTGTGTTCTTAGATTAAACCAAAAAGTATGACTTTCGCGTGATTCTTGTGATTTTTTTAAAGAAAAAACCACTTTGTGATAGTTTGTCCTCTATTGTTAAAACTTTACCCCTCCTTCCTGCTCATGGCAGATGAAATCTAATGTCACAATCTCCAAGTCTTCCCCTCAACATTCCTCTAACACTTTAACTACCTTACTCTCCCCAACTGTCCCATAACAGCTCCCTAAGCCCTATTATGAGGAAGAGGGAGCACTGTGTACTCCTGTGCCTTAGGGGAAGCTGTGGCAACAGGATGCTGGTAATGTATTTTGAGGGAGCTAAGAGAAGAAGTTTCATTCCAATTTCTCAGATTCCCCTGGCTCCATAGGGATATGGAAGACCCGAAGTAGTTGCTGCTGAGGCAAACTTGCATGTGAGCTCTTTGACAACAAAAGTGGAAGAAACTACTTGGCCAAGCATCCCTTAAGAAACAGATGTGGGGAACAAGGAGATGGGGAATGTTTTAAAAGACATAGCTGGAATTAACTGCCCTTCAAAAAGTGTTCTATGTAAGTTCCATATTTGGAAAGATGGAATTTAAAGGCAAAAGATGAAATTTGGTTTTATCCACCTAAACTAAATACTCAAATTTATGACCAGGAATAGTACTCATGGAAATAATGTGGGGTACAATATATCAACTCTTACTGAGGGGAGAGATCTAGTAGCAACCCACCAGGAAGCAATCACTTGTGATTATACCTACTATAGCTCAGTTATGCGATTTAGCTGTATGATAAGTGACCTTATTGTTTTGTGTGGTAGCTACTAAGCCGTATCCATATATAAGTATAGTTAAAGATAATGTATGTTTTGAACATAAAAGGTACAGATGTTAAGTGTCCTGACTTGAATGATAATTTATAATTGCTGTAGTTAAAAGGGTTTTGAAATAATTGGAGAAATTTTAACCTGGAGTTGATACTGGGTGATAACCATAGTAATATCGAATGTCTTGTGATTACTTGTACAGGGTTTCAAATCTACACATAATATGTGTTTGTATAATCTCCAATATTTATAATGGTCAAGTATGATACCTATGCATAGCATTGCATTAGCCATAAATTGGGTAATGAAATGACAACAGACAGGTGGTGGTAACTTATGTTTGAAATGTATAATTGTGTTTTTAATTTTTAATATTTTACATTAAAATAATTTCACATATTTTAAAAATCCCTTTTGAAATACTAATTAGTTCATGACATTCTCCTGTTCAAGGAATGTGTCCCATATCTTCGAGGTGACTTTTGCTGATGTGCCATTTTCAAATGTCACTGTCAAAAAGAAATACTGGGACCCTCTGAAATCTGTTTTTTAACCTCAGCTAGGACTGCGCATTCCCTTCACTGTGCTCAGATTTCTACTTCTCCTTAATACATATCTTCTCTAACATACCATTTGATATTTGTCTTCCCCTCATAACAAGCCAATTTCTGTCAGTTTTACACCCTTAGGAATCAAAATCTAGAACACAGCCTGACATAATGAATGTGGTGTTCGATGAATGATGAATGAAAAGGTTTGGAGTGAATTATAAAAGAAATGGACTCTTAAGTTACTGAGGGTCAATATTAAACATTCTGTGTCCACTCTGTCTAACGTATTGTTATATATCTATTTTACTCCATATTCTCTGGAAAAGTCATTTCTCATGACCCACCCCTTAGATAAGGTTTTGTGTATCTATACCACCCAGAATTTTGTTTCTATTCCTTCCATGTATTTCCTACTGTGCTCTAATATACTGTTACAGACTATCTCTAATAAATTCTGTTTTGCTTTATCTTGTTTTTACAAAGAACAGGGGTGTAGGCCAGAGGTACAGGTGCAGCAGATTCCCCCGAAGGAAAAAAAAAAAGTGGGAGCAAAACAAATGGATTTACTGCCAAGGGGAGTGACAGAAGCAGTCTGCTCTGTGGCAGGTGGGTTAGTGCCCTGGTTTGGTTTGATTCAATACCAGGCTACCCCAGAGAGCCTTCACAGTATGCTGAGACTTAACCCCCAGGCCACCAGGGAAGTCCCTCTAATAAATTCTTCTAAATTGCTTGGCAGAAATTGTTCTTTCCAGTGCTCCATTCTTCTATTTATTGTTGAAGTGAATTGTACAACTTCAGCATTTTGTTGCCTGCATAATAAGCAAAATTGAGAACTGGATCACTTGGCCCCTTATCCAATCTCCCTCAAAATGCTTGCAACTTTGAACAGCTGGGAGGCTCATAGAGCTGCATTTGGGCGCCAGGTCCCCAACAAGCCCTAGCTCAATCTTCTTGGCAGTGTAGCTTTTCTCCAGAATATTGGTTAGTGTGACCACCATAGCCACTTTGTGTCCTGTGAAATAATGCTTTCCCTGCCCAGGGAAATCATTACAGAGAATGCTTGCCTTCCCCTTCCTGTGTCATTTCTGACTTCTAACAAAGTGAGGATTTCTAGTAGACACTTTCCCTATACTTGTTAGAGTACTATCGGCACAGAAAATTCCACCTTCCTATTTTATACTGTAAAATCCAAAGATGGTAATAAAACAGTGTAATCACTCAATGTTTTAATTAGCAGAACATGAAGAATTAAAAAACCTCTGAAATCTTAATATTTTTTGAAGGCTAATAAAGGACAAAACTTGATGAGTAGGAGCAAGATCTGGTTACAAAAATGAAATAGATCCATTTGAGTTTTCTCATGTAGATCAGTTTTGACTTCACATTTTGTTACTAGCCACAAAATATCTGAGTTGGAATGATCTGGAGGAAGTAAATACTCCAGAATGTTTTATTTTTGTCATATGTAAGCATTACTACAGAAGGATTTCCCTAAGAAAATTTGAGCTGACAGCAAATTGAAAGGATTAGTAAATTGAAAAAAGGAGGAGTTTGCTGAGGAACTGTAAAGATCCTGATATGTGTAATAAATACCTAAAAGGTCAATTAGTTGGGAGTCAAATCAAGGGAACAAAGATAATATTGCTGGATATTAGAGAGGAATGGAGACCTAGAAAATACAAAGTCTTATCTTTTTCTTAGAAAAAGCAGACATGTCTTTTAGGAGTTCATGGGGCTAGACTGAAATAGCTGGTTTGCATTTTTGAAAAAGTTATTGGCCTCTAGATGGAGAAAACCTGAAGGTGGAGAGTGAGTGTTAGGGGAGACCAGTTAGGAATTTATTTCTAGTCAGCCAGAGATTTGGGCAGCACACTTTTGATGGTAAAGATGGAGAGCTGCTTGACAGGACTTAGCAGCAGATTGGATAAGGAGAGTAGGATCATTCACAAAAGAAAGTGATTCGAAAATTGATGGCTATCAACAAATTACCACTTACGCTGTACGTTTTTTCCTCCTTTTCTCCTCCATCTCTTACAATAAGAGTCATCTGAAAAGGAAGATGAGGTACCAAGGATAATGCATGTACCAAGGTAAATAAATGACATTTCTCTTCAGCCAAATCTTCCAAAGACTGAGGTTGGCGGGGACTGACTGGGAGAGACACGTTGGAACTTTTCTGTGGTGAAGAAAATATACTTAGTTCTGATTGGGTAGCTGACTACCATTTTTCTTTTAAGCTTTATTTATTTATGCATACACAACTGGGGTGCAGACCAGAGGTGCATGGGTAGTGAGGATTCACCAGAGACAAAGTGGGGAGCAGAACAGGCAGATGGATGAAGTGCACTGCTGAGGGGAGCAACGGGAGAGACAAGAGGGGTCTGCTGTGCCAAGTGGATCACCTCTGGGGCTGGGGATTGAACTTGCACTGAAGTGGCTGTGACCAGATTGCAGTGCTGTGCCTAACTCTTTGCACCACCAGGGAAGGCCTTGACTACCATTTTTCAAGACAGATCAATCTATACCTAAGATCTGTGCATTTCACTGTAAATTTTATTTCAATTTTTTAAAAGATCCACTTTGGAGATCAAAGTGGAATGAATGTCACCTGACCATTTCTAGAATTTCTGCATTGACAAATATGAATCAGAGCTAGAGATTAAGGGAGACTTGTACATTCTCATGATGGATGTTCCCAGTATGTCAGGGGCTTTATAACCAAAGAGTGTTAAAAAGAAGGTTCACAGTGATTCTACAAGTTTCCCTCAGTATCCCAGAATTTGTGCAGCTTTAATACTACAAAACCAGACATTTTCATACTCTGCCCTGCCTTCAGAGCTCTTTAAATCTTACTTCTTGGAAAAACTTTTTCATATATTCTAACTCTTAAAGCTATCTTTTTAAAATCCATATTGAACTGCAAGTCATTTATTTTGTACTGTTAGAGTTATGAAAATATAAGCTTTGGGAGTGATTGATACATATTCAAATTTTCACTCTTAAAGCTCACTTTCCTTGATTTTTTAGAATGAAAACAACAACTCACCATTGCATAACTGCTGGATTAAAAAATATACATAAAACAATTATAGGGTTGCCCAATAATCCATACTCAACCAAGATTAATTGCCGTCATTCCTATTACAGTTTATTTGGTTTGGTTTTGTTTCCTTTACCAAAATAACCTGTAGTTACCAGTTATGTAATTATTTCATGAGCTATGTGACTTTTGGGAACTTATTCTTTCTAGTTTAGTCAGGTTTATT